CCCCAAAACCCCAAAACCCCAAAACCCCAAAACCCCAATTTATTCATAGCGTTTGAAATATTATATCTAGCTTTACTAAAATGGCAGATACAAAATCTGGTCCACCTAAATTCGGGGGAGGTGGAAAACAAAATGAGGATTCTGAGAACCCTTCAGAAGCCAAAAAAGGTGCCACAGGTCTTTCTCAGTCCTACGCTGGTTCATCCAAGCCTAGGTACGGAGGCGGGTTTCCAAGATCTGGTCTATCCCAGAGCCAATCCAAGCCAGACGAGTCTGGTGAAGAGGAGAAACACTCCTCCAAGAAGGAGAGCAATGGGATGATCATTGAGACCTTCGAAAAACCTTTGATCCCTGACTTAGCCCTTAACCACAACTGGACAATTTGGGAGCTTCTTGATACCAAAGGCGGCGGAAGCTACAGTTCAGGTATGGAAAAGGTAGCATGGTTCGGGGACATAATCACTTTCTGGAAGGCCTGGAATCAGATTCCTCATTCAGACCCCAAAAACTTCTTCTCCTTTACAAGAGAAGGAAAGTCGTATGCCAATTACTATGAGGTAAAAGGAAGCGCAATGAAGATCAGTACTCTAGCGATGTTCAAAAGTGGCATTCACCCTGCGTGGGAGGATGCAACCAATAAGAACGGCGGAGAGTACGCAGCCAAAGTTGACACCAACGCAGAGGCAACTTGAAAGGTATGGAGCAGCCTTGTATTCGACCTTGTCACCAGCAACTTCCCTGCCACTGACAGAGTCTGCGGGATCAGAATCGTCGACAAGGGAAGAATTTTAAAAGTTGAATTATGGGTGGATTACGGACTCAGAAAATACTGCGATGCTGCTAAGGCACAAGAAGAAAGAATGATCGAGATATGTAGAGAGGCTGGAACTAGTGGAATCAAGTTCGATTTCCAAGCACATGCCTAAGCAACCATAGATGACATAAGATGCTCAGCTTCCAAGCAAAGAAGCTTATTGGATATAAATTAAAGTTGATTACTAAATTCTTTAATTGAGCTACTATTTATTGGGGTTTTGGGGTTTTGGGGTTTTGGGGTTTTGGGG